CGATGGCAAAGAAAGCAAGAGAGGTATTTTTGTGGACAGACGACGAGGTCGAGTTGTTACTAAACGTAACAAATGAATAACTGCACAATTGCATCTAAAACAGACAATAGTGCAAACAACGCTCCTATTTCTGTGTCCATGTTGTTGTTTACAGTACTGTCTTTCAGTAGTGTCAAAGCCATGTGTTTTAGTCATGTGATAGAGGCTTGACGAATAAGGGAATGATACGCAATGACACAAAAGCCCTAATCAGGTAGCAAATCTCAGCAGTCCCGCCTCCGTTTTCAGATGTCTCCGTTTTTCCTCATCCACACCGAAACGGAGCAACAGCGTTTCAGAATGAAAACAGCCTCTCCAGCGTTTTCAAAACGCTCCGTTTTCGGCGCTCGAGAACTCCGGCGTAGTGTGGATGGATGGCGTAACCGTAGCGAAACTTATGCGTTTTAAAACGAAAACGCATTAGTGTACACTGGGCCTAAGAGTCAGTTGCATCATGCCATGGCAGACTTTGTAAGTGGAAAAACTGAACGATTCAATAGCGAGAAAACAGTTAAACAGACCATCTGCAGAGCGAGGATAAACAAAAGAAAATCTGTAATTTTACACTTTATTTGTAAAAAATGTAAAACAATGGCTGTTAAGTTACAGAAATTTACTGTAAAATAACACAGATTGATTAACAAATTTAGCATAAATTTAAATTTAAGGACATTTCTGTAATTTAATGGTTGTTGTTTTACAGTTTTTTTAAACCGTAAAATTACTGATTTTTTTACAGTGTATAAGCCTCCTCCATTCTGCCTCTTTACTTTCTCTTTACTTTACTTTTACTCTTTACTTTACGCCTTTAATTTGGTGAAGTACGGAAACGGTGGAAACTCGCTCCATTGAAGACATTCATCAGCCTACATATTTAATTTTGTTTGTTGAGCACAACGATTTGCTTCAAAACAATTTCTAAATTCAGTTCTAATTTCCAACAAATGAATAAACAAACAATAATAACAAAGTGTGGTCAAAAATGAATAAGTTATACCCAAACACACGTCCTGTACTTATTCTCCATATGGTGATGCAGACGTCTCCAAAACCCGACAGGTGGACAAATCTAAACAAATCTTTTTATTAAAACAAATATAAATATGCATGTAATAAATAATACTGCTAATGATAATAACATTATACTAATGCAAATTGTCATGAATAAACTGAAAAAGCCCCTAAGATGAGGCATGGAGGTAGTGGATTTCATCTTTATGTAGTAAATAATATTTTTTGTAATCCTTTAATTTTTGTGTAGTGTTGTACATCCTGTATGTATTGAGCAATGTGTAAGCGTTTGACCCCACATAGGTGCACAACTAAAGCACTCTGCGCCAGACTTTAGATCTGCTTTTACATGGTCATTGGTGCAGTCTTTTTCAGTTCTTCAAAATAGCAACCCGCCAACAATCCGCATAACACATCTCAATTTTAGACCAGCGCGCCCAAGAGTTTACAAAGTGGCACAAATGGATTTGCAATTAAAAAAACGTGACGGAAAACATAAAAAATTAGGGTTGCGCTGGTCTGAAAATAGCAACAAATCATGCCAAACATGTCTTGTGTCTTATTGAGCCGGGTGTATAAGGCTCATTATGTGCTTTATAATGTACCTATTGTGCTGTTTCAAATAATGCAGTTTGAAGCTGTCTTTAAAAGTACACGTCTTTAAAGTTTTAAAGGTCAGTGCATGATCAGTAAAGTTCAATTCAGTCAAATCTAAACCTTTGTAAAAGTAAACATTAATTGCAGTTTCTTTTCTTTGTAGATTCTTAACACATTTACATAATACCAGCTAATCCTCTTTGTTGATGGCCTGCAAACAACATCTTAAACAAAACAAAAAATTAAGTAACTCTCATGTTTACAGACTGCCCTGTTCCTGGATCAGCTCTCTAACCGCTGGCTATCACAGCAGTACCATCACATACTGTATCAAAATCACAATCAAAATACAATAATAACAGGCCATAATCGATCATACAGCAAACAAATGTGAGAAAGAACCAAGCCTCAGTTCTCTTATCGAGACGAGAGCATGTCGGGTTTCTCTGCTGGGTCTTTTGTCATCTCTAAATAGAACAAACAAAACCAGATAACATGCTTACACTATATCTGCTTGTGGTTTGCTTTTTTTTGAGACTGTTAGCTCTTGTTCTGTTTCCTGAGAGCTGCGCGCACAGGAAGTGCTTTTTTTTAAGTGATGGTACACGTGACTTCGGGCCTACTATATATATGTCAACAAACTTTATATGAGATGCTGAGTTTTTTTTTTTGCCTTTTAGCTTCTTGCTCATACATTAAATTAGTCCAAACCAAAACGTATCACACCAATACATTAAGTACACCCCAATGAATATGTTAGGAGAAAATATTACAGCTTGCACAACTGTATAATACAAAAAACATTAAAAGATACAAAAACAGGAAGTGTTTATTAGGCTAAAGTTTTTGTAGGCTGTATTTTTTCTCATTTTAATGTAAATGTATTATTTTAAAAATGACAAGTGGCTCTCTAGCTAACCCAGGCTCATTCTGATTCTCCTTCTCCATCCTAATTGCTTGATCCGCATTTCAACAAGGTTATGAGGTGAAATGGTCCAGAATAGGGACTTTGCTTGATTGCTGAAAGTCTCTGAAGAGTTATAAAGGCCAAAGCCTGGCCGAAGCTTAAACAAGGCCTAAAGCCGGGGTTACATTTTTGAAAGAAGAGTAAGGGTCAGAGACAGAGGAGTCAAAGAGAGCCGGTACAGAAGAGCGTAGAGAGGCGTAGAAGAGGTTCAGGTCCTTAAATAGGTTTGCTATTTACATGTGAACTCCCAGTGGGGTGGGTTTCTGGGGGCTGCTTAAAAAGTTCATGTAATGATGAAATGCGTCTGTTTGATCTTCCTCCATTCGTTACACTTGATATTACATGTTTCTCTTTTTCTTTGGCTAACCATGATTTTTAAATCAGTAGTCGATGGGTTGAATTGAGGTTCTGAGTGTTTTGTTTTTCTGCTGATGTGGGAGTTCCTCCAGCTGAGTATTGGGGAAGAGGCTGTTAAAGCAGATGCTCCATTTACTGCCTGTTTTGTCCTTTGTCTAAACGTTTGTGACTTCACACAATCAGCTGTTTGCATAAGGTCAGCATCACTGGAAAAGGTTGAGTGAATCAAATTACATTCAGGTCTAAAGCTTCTAAAGGCCTTCTAAAATTTCATCTTTCCTGTTTTTTATGAAAGCATAAGAATAGAGTATAATATTCAGTAAAGATCATGATTCACGAACATATTTTATACATTTCCTACTGTAGACTGTAAAAATGCTTTTCTTACTTAGATTTTTTGTCTTGTTTCTAGTCCAAATATCTAATAAAATTTTTAAATCAAGAAGCATTTTTCTAGACAAGCTTGTTTTAAGAAATAATATGCCAAAATTAAGTGAGTTTTTCCTTAAAGCAATCAAAATAATCTACCAATGGGCAAAGCAAAACAACCTTATGTCCAAATGAAAAACAAGACTATATAGCTTAAACCGTTGGCAGATTATTTTGCTTGTAAATATATTAGAAGTCAACGTTTGATTGCTAAGCATTTGATTCAAAATGTGATTTTCTCAGTATTTAGGCTTTTTTGAACCCTCAGGTTTTAAATTTTCATTTTTTTATCTCCAAACAAACCATACATCAATGGATTTATTTAAATACTTTTTAAATATTTATTCAGGTAATTTCTGAAAATTAACTCTTATCAGTCAGTCAGTCTTTATTCATTTCCCGAAGGCAATTTGGTTGCAGCATACAAGCATGTCACACATAATACACACAAGTGCATCATACAATACAAATTCCACCCTAACTTTAAAAACTTTACAGCTGAGGGGATGAATGAAAGTTTAAACCGATTTGTTTTACTAATAGGAGTTCTGTATCGAATTTTAAAAGGGAGAAGATAAAACTCGTGGTGCATAGGATGGGAATCATCTGACAGAATACTCTGAGCTTTACTCAAAACTTGTCTATGGTATAACTGAGCCATGGTCAACTGTTTTCTCCCTGTTATTTTTCCTCCTAAGTTCACAGTTTGATTACAAATAAATATTTTCATTGAGTTTAAGGTTTTTTTGTTGTTTTTGTTTTGTTATTTTTGTACTTAACAAAAAGGAGCACTACTAACCACACTGTAAAACAAATATGCGTAGATTAGCTGTTTCCTGCATTTTGTAATTCATGTTTTTATTTTATTTTCCCTAATTATTTATATTTTAAATTGATTATAGGACCTTGATCATTCTTCCAACAACCTTTAACCTTGAAAAAGTGACTTTTATGAATATTTTTAATAGTTTAAAGTGATGTATTGTCTGGGTTGATGTTGTATATTACAGTACAAAAATCTTGTAATAAACTAGCTGTACATTTTCTGTTATTTTCCTGACTTATTTCTCCATATATTATTATTTCTAATGCATGATATTATTATTTTAAACTCTTAAAATGTCAATAAAAGTCATTTTGTTAAACTGTAGAGTTAAATGTTCAACATCAAAAGTCGACAGAGCCGAGATCGACATCCCATAATGCAACTCACAACAGAAAACACTTGACACAAAACACAGAACTGTTCATTAACTGATATCTTTACAATGTAGGACATGTTTTTGTTTCATTATGGTTCTGTTAATCTTTATTATTAAATTGAAGTTTATAAATAATACACTTGCCATATTTTATGCTTATGGCTTTAGTTAACTGTAGTAACCTTGATTTATATGTTAAGTAAAGATATTGATATGATTTTTTTGTTTTAGTAGCTGTAAACAGTTTCATGTTGCTGGTAAAGAGGTCATCATCACATTTAGCCATCCTTGGCTAATACAAGTACATTAGTAGTTTAATCATTGTAACCTCAAGTCTATGTGAGGAAAAGTGTGCCATCAGCTCTTCATATCTGCGTTCTGACATGTTTGCCCATCAGGTGGAGGATGACACAGCGGTGTATGTGAACATCCCTCGGAAGCGTCAAACCACCATCAACAACTCCAGCCCCATCGCTTCTTTGCTGCAGGATTTTCCAGAGCCTCCTGAAAACTTCCTTCTGGACTCAGCAGGATGGCAGGTCCACACTGACGACCAGAGCGGCCAAGAGTTCTACTATCAGCCCTCCACTGGCCGCAGCACCTGGGAGAATCCGCTCAGCAGCCGCTCAATGGAGTCGCCGGTGGGCACAGAAGGGGGTCGATCGCCTCCGTCTTTCCCTCAGTCTCCCGCCTGCTCGCCCGTAGCTCCTGCTCCGCGCAGGTGGAGCTCGGACTGGGAGAAGGTTTTAGATGAGAGCACAGGCAGACATTATTTCTTCAACACTGTGTCAGGTCAGAGCTCATGGGATCCTCCGGAGGATGTCGACTCACCTGGACGCCTGATGTTTCTGGATGATTGTCCGGTATGGAGATTATTGTGCATTGCTCTGATGTGTACTGTGATTAGGAATATGATGCAGTACAATTTCTTGTTGCAACTGTTATCATGAAATACTGTGCCGCCACGGTAACTTAGTGGTTAGCACTGTCGTCTCACAGCAAGAAGGTCGCTGGTTCGAGTCCCGGCTGGGTCAGTTGGCGTTTCTGTGTGGAGTTTCCTCCGGGTGCTCCGGTTTCCCCCACAGCCCAAACACATGCTCCGTAGATGAATTAAGTACACAAAATTGGCCGTAGTGTACAAGTGTGTGAATGAGTGTTTACTGTTTTATAGTACAGGGTTGCTGCTGGATGGGCATCCACTGTGTAAAACATATGCCAGAATAGTTGGCGGTTCATTCCGCTGTGGCAACCCCTGATAAATTAGGCACTAAGCTGAAGGAAAATGAATGAATGAAACACTGTAATATCAGGATATTGACTTAAGCTGCAAAAAAGGTTACTTTAAAAGTTTTCATAACAAAAAAATACTTTGTGTTTTGCTTTATTGTACCGTTGAAGTCAGAATTATTAGCCCTCCTGAATTATTAGCCCCCCTGTTTTTTTATTTCCCCAATGGGGAGCTAAGAATTCTGATTTCAACTGTATATGCATCCGAGTAAACTAATCTTTCAAACAAAATAATAATAATATGAACAAAAGTACAAATAGACCACAATTCACAATAAATTCACATTAGATAATGTTAGCTAATGCATTCAATTCAACACTAGACAACAAAATACAACTCAATTTTATTTGCTATTAACTCTGTTCAATAAAAGGATTATAACTTTAGATTTTGTTGCATTGGTCACACTTTACAATAAGGTTCATTAATTAATGCATTTACTAAGATGAACAAACAATGAACAATACATTTACTACTGTATTTGTTCATTTTAGTAAACGTTAGTTAATGAAAATACAGTAGTTCATTATTAGTTCATGTTAACTCATGGTGCATTAACTAATGTTAACAAGAATGTTAATAATGCATTAGTAAATGTTCAATTATGATTAATAAATGCTGTACAAGTGTTGTTCATGATTAGTTCATGTTAGTAAATGCATTAATTAAGGAACCTTATTGTAAAGTGTTACTGTTGCATTAAAGGCATTACCTAGGAAATTTTTATCACATAAAATTAATACATTTGTTATAGTTTTGCTTGTGATTTTAGTTAATTTACTGTTAACAAATGGAAATATTCAGAGTTTCCTCAGGGTCTTAAAAAGTCTTAAAATGTCTTAAATCCCAAAATCCAAATTTTAGGTCTTAAAAAGTTGAATTTACTCTAATGTTGTGTTGTAGGTCTTAAATCTTTTTTAAACAGGTCTTAATTTATCATTGTTCATGCATTGCTACCCAATCTTGCCAAACCCCATACAATCACCAACAACCCATCTCAATAAAACTTTCAACTTTTTATTTAAAAAGGTCATTTTTAACTTTGTTTATCATAATGGTTTAATTATTCTCCTTATAATTACATTTGTTTAAAAGTGCTCCATGTGTTTACTGCTGTGGACAGATTGTTGTGCATGGATTTAGTTTCATATAGTTTTTAAAACTTTTAAAACATTTGTTTATTATTTTTTGAAGGATTTTATTTTACACAATATTTTTAATTTTTTGCTGAGAAATATCTCAAATATTGTAATTTATTATTATTTATTTAGTATTGTATTATAATTAAATGTATTGACCTTATTCTAAAATGCGGAAGTGCGCCTGTTTTCGCGATTGTCGTAGAACTTCAGATTCAGTTGCCTATGGGAGAAATGACTAGGATTAATCAACGGCAGAAAACGGTCAAACTACTTGCTCTACAAACAAATGTTTGCATGACTATACAGACCAAGTAGAATAATATAATAAGAAAATATCAAAGTGCAACATCAAGCACTGTAATGAGCAGTTTTTAACATCAAAAAATGAATGGAAGTGAATGAGACCGGAAGTCTCAAGCCAAAAAGATTCAAATGGCAGCGCCCACTCATCCGCAGAGAATAAGGTGAATTAAATTAGAATATTTTTGTTTTTTAATACGGCAAATAAAAAATCTTTTTTCTTTGGGCCATTTGAAAAATTCCTTAGCATTTAACCCTTTACGAGTCTAAAGTTTCATTCATAATGGTCTTAAAAATGTTTTTAAAAGTCTTGAATTTAACTTAGTGAAAGCTGCAGAAACCCTGTTAATGTAAAGTGGTAATAAACAGTGGCCCTATAACCAGACACTGCATTTTCAATAAATTTTTCAGCATGTTGCACGCCATAATACAATCTGAACATTCTTAAAAAATCTCTAAATGTTTATTTATTAAATCAATATAATCACAATATATTGAATCCTTGAATATCGGTGTATGCCTTACTGAGGGATTATCATATTATATTATAGGTTTTTTACCATATTATATTTAGTTTTTTTTTTTTTACTTTTTTGTTGTAAAAAAATTTGTTAAAGTATTTAAAACAAATTAAAATAATTATACAGTGATGATATTTTCAGAACCGTCATTTAAAAACTACTCTGTTCTGTCAAAATAATCAAGTTTTTATTAGTTGCATACATTATTATAACATTAATTCTGAATCTGGTCATTTCTATGCCCAACAAAATTTCAATAATAAATGCATTTTCATTTTAATCAATAATGTTCCTTTTTTCAGTTGTAATTTAATGTAAAAGTAAAATAAAATACATTTTGATTCATACTTATATTAGTGCTGGGCAAAGATTAATCACAATTAATCAATCACTGTCAAAATAAAAGTTTATTTTGAGAATATATAAAACAATATTGTTAGATATTTAAATGTATCAATAATTTGTATTATATTATTGTACAGTATATATATATATGCATCTGTGTATTTACATGTAGATAATAAATATACACAGTACACAGACATTCAGTTTACTATGTCAAAACAGACTTTTATTTTGGATGTAATTAAATGTGATTCATTTATGTCCAGCACTATTCATTCATTCATTCATTCATTCATTTTCTTTTGGCTTAGTCCCTTTATTAATCAGGGGTCGCCACAGCAGAATGAACCACCAACTTGTCCAGCACGTTTTTACGCAGCGGATGCCCTTCCAGCCACAACCTATCTCTGGGAAACATCCGCACACACTCATACACTACGGACAATTTAGCCTACCCAATTCACCTGTACCGCATGTCTTTGGACTGTGGGGGAAACCGGAGCACCCAGAGGAAACCCATGCGAACGCAGTGAGAACATGCAAACACACAGAAATGCCAGCTGACCCAGCCGAGGCTCAAACCAGCGACCTTCTTGCTGTGAGGCGACAGCACTACCTACTGCACCACTGCGCCGCCTGTCCAGCACTAACTTATATATTTGTATTCCCCTAAAATACAGCCTCCGCTTCCAGAGGAAGATTACCCAGCATCCCCTGAGCTGGAGGAGGCGTCTCCTGTCTCCATCCCAGCTGAGTATTCTCTGATTCATGTGAAGAAGGTCTCCATCCCGCGGGTCAGTCTGGACCGCAGCAGTCCGGCCGGCTGGAGTCTCGACATCGACTCTGAGGGTACCTGGACCTTCACCAGCGAATACACACAGGAGCAGGTACAAGACCCGTGACACTGACCTTCACGTCTCCTCCTTTTGGGCTGACTTTCTATTTGGGCTGATTAGCTTTCTATTATTAGTGGTAGTATGGCTGTAGGCGAGTTTTGTAATTTGGGGAACTTAATGAAATGTCTTGTTGACAGTGGATCAAGTCGCTCGACGATCAGGGACGGACGTACTATTACCTGAGAGACGGAAGCAAGTCCCAGTGGAATTTACCTGAGGTGCGGAACGTTTCGCATGGTTCTTCTTCACATCAAGAACAATGATTATCATAACAGATCAGTGCTCACACCAGCACACAGTAATGTTTGATTATTAGAAGTGTGTGTTAGGGTTAATGTGTTAATGTAGTCTGCTTTACATGCTCTTTAAGTTACGTTTATTTTCGAGAGGTTCATGTGATTATGATTAGCTATCTTATGATTTACCAATCAGACGAATCTACACATACATAAATAATCAGATTTCCTTACCTTAGTCATCTTCCTCTTGAAGAATCCCCCATTCACAATTACTCCTCCCCCTCTTTCCTAGATTAATCCAGGACAGGGTGGCGTGGCAGCTCAGTGGTTAGCACTGTTGCCCTACAGCAAGAATGTCGCTGGTTCAAGTCCAGGCTGGGTCAGTTGGCGTTTCTGTGTAGAGTTTGCATGTTCTCCCTGTGTTTGCATGGGTTTCCTCCGGGTGCTCCGGTTTCCCCCACAGAATATCCTCGAGCGCGGGGCTCCCTCCATACAGTATTACGCAGGGTTTAAATGTGTATAATGCTTAACACTACAACAATGGTGGCTGAGAGAGAAGAACAGTTTATAAACATCTAGCAAACAGCCTTATCCAGCGAGAAGTGCCAACGCCGCAACACGTCACATTGCTTTATATTAGCCAAGGACAGACTGAATGGAACAAGGTTTAACTTTAATAAGACATGGAGCAATGCGCTTGTGCTCCCACATACAGTATAAGTGAATTCAATAAACCAAATTGGCACAGTATATGAGGGTTTTAATGCTGGGCATTCACTACATAAACATATGCTGGAATAGATGGCAGTTCATTCTGCCGTGGCAACACTTAATAATCAAGGAATAGGCCAGGGGGAGTTCTCAAGACCTATCTGATCTCAAACTCCCCTCTCTTCCAATGAAACAGGGGGGAGCCCCTGGCTCGAGGATCTTCTGAGCTCAGGGCTCTCTCCTGGGACAGCATGCCAAACACGCTTCACTATCAATGATCAGAGTGTGAACTCTTGAAAGTTGAGTGGAATCTGAATGGCTGGAGTTAGTGATGCATGATGTATCAGTTGTATAGTCTGTATTTAGCAGTAAATGACAAGTTTTAGTTGCGTTTATGGGCCTGATCAGAAAATAGTTATTTCTGCCTTACATAGATAGCACACGAGGGAGTGCTTTTTCCATTAAACAGAGAACTGGATTTTGGGAACAGGATTTTGGCTAAATAAAACTCCATATACAATTGAAGACAGAATTATTAGCCCAACTTTGATATATTTTTTATTATTTTTTTTATATTTTCCAAATGATGTTTAACAAGGAAATTTTCACAATATGTCTGAGAATATTTTTTCTTCTGGAGAAAGTCTTATTTGTTTTATTTCGGCTAAAATAAAAGCAGTTTTTTATTTTTTGAAAAACATTTTAAGGTCAATATTATTAGCCCCTTTAAGCTATATATATTTTTGATAGTCTACAGAACAAACCATCGCTATACAATAACTTGTCTAATTACCCTAACCTGCCTAGTTAACCTAATTGATCTAGTTAAACCTTTAAATGTCACTTTAAGCTGTAGAGAAGTGTCTTGAAAAATATCTAGTCAAATATTATTTACTGTCATCATGGCAAAGATAAAATAAAACAGTTATTAGAGATGAGTTATTAAAACTATTATGATTAGAAATAAGTTGAAAAAATCTCTCTATTAAACAGAAATCAGGGAAAAAATAAACAGGGGCTAATAATTCTGACTTCAACTGTACATGTATATTTTTCAGCTGAGAAAACTGTAGGATTTTTTAAAAAATGGTTTTACTCAGAAATACCTAGTCATTTATTTATAATAAACAAAGAAATAGGAAGGCAGGTTTATTTATATAGTACATTTCAAATGCAATGGTAATTCAGAGAGCTCTATAAAAACAAGAATATTAGAAGAATGATAGCATTTTAAAAGGAAGAAATAAGAAAGACACACAATGCGATCTGTCAGATTTAGCACAGTTCTCATTTGGTAAAGGCACATCCTTGATAGTATATTTTCTTTTATAACACATACCATATATTATATATATATATAACCTATATATAAGACGTTTAAATAAACATGACTTTTTTTTTTACAGTGTACAAAATGTACAAAAAGAGTTATTCTAAAGTTTAAAACGTCTCTCACTCTTTTAGTACTCTGCCAGTCCAGGACAGTATGGAGTGGGAAACGGGGCCTCAGGAGAGCAGGACACAGTGGGATCCAACTGGAGACACAGTGCAGGATACCCGGATGATGTATGTATTCACACACGTAGATACATTTTGTCACTAATTTGAGTCTTTGTGTTTGTTGACTATTAGAGCATGTTGATGGAAATGATGCCACTCAAGACTCCGGTATTCATTAAACAAACAAACAAAGGCCAAAAATAAAGCTGAGTGACGGTGTAATGTTTTCAAACCTTCCAACATCCCTGCGCTGCAGTGGGCAGGGTTTAAATGTGTATACTGCTAACCACAACAACAATGGCAGCTGAGAGAGAAGAACAGTTTATAAACACCTAGCAAACAGCCTTGTCCAGTGAGAAGTGCCAACGCCGCAACACGTCACGTTGCTTTATATTAGCGGTGGACAGACACTGAATGGAGCAATGTTTCGAACTTTATTAAGACATGGAGCGATGCGGTTGTGCTTATTTTCTGAAGTGTGACTCTGAATCTTTAAAGTTCACATGAACCTGAATATGCAGCCGTTTCTTTTTCCTATTGTGACGCAGTTCCTAGAGAAATGGAATAATTAATGAGAAACAGTGATCGTGGCTTGTTTTTTGCTTCTCTGAGCTGATTGGATGTAGTAAAGTAGGTATTTCATTCAGAAAGATCAGGAAATGGGTTTGGGGAAAGTTAATACAACCTAACAGACACCTCCTCTTCACCATTTCTGTTTGTTGTCATAGCGATGTCAAAACTGACAGTTGAAGGGGTGTGGTTAAGTATGTTAGCCACACCCAATGCCTCAGACAGACCTAATGTGACCTAATGATTTTAATTTTAGATTACAAGGGCAAACTATTTTGCTTTTCTTCATGGCATTCACAGATGAACTGTTCACCACAAAACTAGCAATGTGAGCTAACAAAATCTGTATGGTTAGTTTTGATTTCATGTTTACTTATTTTTATGTGTACTTAAAATCTCTCAGCAAACATTCATCTGCACCCGCTCTGCTACTCGATCCTCCAGTTTATTGATGTTGCTAACTTCTGTCTGACTTCCAGAGTTCCAGGACCCGCCTTAAAATGAGCTTCACTTTGGCCGGAATTTGTTCGAAATTACATCATATTAGTTCCCTTTATGATTTTGTTTGAAGTATCCTCCAGAGGATGTGTGTATAACAATTTATAACAACTCAGAATTGTGTGCGTGTGTGTGTGTGTGTGTGTGTGTGTGTGTGTGTGTGTGTGTGTGTGTGTGTGTGTGTGCCTTTCTGTCTTCTTACTCACACACACAATTCTAAATTGTTTTAAATTAATCCTAAAATGCTGATTATTAAATATAATGTTGATTATTAGTTTTTATAGATTATAGTGTGTTCTTTTTCACAATATTTACTAATTAACTACTACTATGTAATTTGTTTACATAAGTTCAATTTAATGTAAACATCATAAATGCTTTGGCAATACATGTGTAGCATTGCTGTCATCCCAATTTAAAGGTAGTTTGGCTTTAATTTAATTTAATTTAATTTAATTTAATTTAATTTAATTTAATTTAATTTAATTTAATTTAATTTAATTTAATTTAATTTAATTCAATTCAATTTAATTCAATTCAATTTAATTTAATTTAATTCAATTTAATTTAATTTAATTTAATTTAATTTTAAAAATGAGAGGGCCACACACTGGACACTAAGTGCACTAAACTATTTCATGTTCGCACCGCTTACATTTATTTTTGTTTTCCATCTAGTTTCATCTAGCAACATTTTTCCAACATGTGCGCTTTCACTGCTGGTGGGATTGTGCTCTGTTCACTATTTTGATCGTAACAGAATTTCACCCTGCGAGATATACAGTACAGAGAGATGATAAATGCTTTGCTATGTAGAGACAGAAATCTCATAGCATCGAGGAATAAGACTAATAACACAAAGCTATTTTGTTTGTTTAATGAAATATTGAAGTGTAGACCTGTTCTGTGGGATAGGAGTGTTCAACTTTTCCCTTTGTGATCTGGGTCTACAGTATTTACCTTATTCTCCGTGGACGAGCAGGCGCAGCCATTTGAATCATTTTGGCTCGAGACTTCCGGTCTCATTCACTTCCATTCATTTTATATGTTAAAAACAGCTTGTTCTGCTGCTTGATGTTGCCAAGTGATATTTTCATGTTATCCTATTCTACTTTGTCTGTATAGTCATGCAAACAGTTGTTTTTAGAGCAAGTATTTTGACCATTTTCTGACAGGTATTATTCCTAGTAATTTCTCCCATAGGCAACTGAATCGAAAGTACTAAAACAATTGCAAAATACGAGCGCACTTCCACATTGCAGAATAAGGTCAATATAGAACATAACAATTTTAATATACTGAAAATGGGTGAGAAAACTGACATTCAAAAGGGGTGGAGCAACCCCATAATTGAATGGAATGGGAAACAGTGCCAGGATTTAGCAAATGGTTAACCTTGCTTTGTGGAATGATGCCTGTGATGAACACCTGATCCTTCATGCATGTCCTTAGTGGCATTGTTTCCCAAATTGGCTCCTGAAGTGCACCTGAGGCTCAGTTTGTCGCTCTATTTAAACCCTCCTCCTCATTCAGTTTTTATAGCCTGCCATTGCACAAACAAATGCATTAATCCCATTTTACTTTGTGAACTTTTTTCATTGAAGCACCATCATACTGGACAGGCATGCAGTGTGCGAATTTTACCTCATGATTCATTTTTTGAGTTTGTCATTTTATTTTAACAGAAGAATCATTCATCATATATTCAGAATACATCAGACAGTGAAGCCTCCAGCTCTCCTGATACGCCACACAACGTAAGACACCAGACCAAACATTAATACCTTTCTAAATATTGGAATAAACACCAGTAATTAAATGAAATCTTCAGACAACACCCACATCAAAAATACTATAGTCGTTTATAGTAAGCACTGTTTCTGAAGGACTTGAATTAATTAGTTATGTACATTCGATAGTTGCCATGCTAATACAACAACTAACTATAGTACTATAAACAAAAAAACAATACTGTACATTTCCTGTATATACTACAATACGACATTGTTTGCTGTAGTGAAAACTAAAGTATACTGTAGTATTTATTTTAGTTTACCAATTAATTTAATACAACAGCATGCTTTAGCACAGGAGTTCTCAAACTTTTTTCATCAAGTACCACCTCAGAAAAAAAATGTCCCTCCAAGTGCCACCATATAACCAGTATTGAAATACAGTAGTGTAGCAGGCCTAATATTTATTATTATCGGCCACTTTAAACCTTATAAATAGTTTGAACATTAACACTGCTGTGCTTATATGTAAAAAACAAACAAACAAAATAAAATATCAACGTTTAAATTAAAATGTGCTTTTAAAAGTTCATTAAAAATGGTAGGCTGCTGTTCTAAAAAAGTAAAAAGAAATCTCGTGTACTTAAATGTAAAGTATTAACCTATAATATCCCATTCATCAAAGCCTGGAAATGCTGCTTAGACCTCATAAAAATAGGCTTTATGTCATCATATTCATATATGAACCATTTTTGATAAATTTTTAAATATATGTTGCATGTACATATGACATGTTGGATTACTCTGCGTACCACTAGAAGGCAGCCCGTGTACTACTAGTGGACACGCACCACAGTTTGAGAGCCACATTCAATACTGAAGAGCTGTAAATACTATATTTAATACACTTTACTATAGTATGGTTCAGTATTTGTTATAAATTACCATAGTATTTGTTCATGTAGGCATTCATATTATTTTAGCGCTCAAATAAAACTGCTTCTGCAAATTAGGAGCAGAAGTGGTCAAATCAGCAGATAAATAATAAATTCATGCAGTATTATTTTTGTCACACTGACCTCTTGTGGTTAATAGTGAAACCTACAGTCTGGCAAGATATAGCAGTAGCTGTACATTTATATTTACAATTAGAGATTTGCAATAACAGTACTGTAATACTCATTTAAATATCCCTACAGTAAATATATAGTAGCCTGGTAAATATAAATGTACTATTCATTTACCATCCAATGCCATTTTTACTTCTGGACTAGGTTTTTTTCAGTCATTCATAAAGGCATGAAATATTGGCTTGAAACTTGTTTGATGAAATAGTGCTATTTATGACTAAATGAAATGCAGATGAATTTACATTTGTGACTGCACATTCAAGTGACATTGACATCTGACTAAAGGGCTTTTAGCTCAAACTACACTGTAAAAAGGATCAGTACATTCGCCGTTTCTCGTATTTTGTGATTCATGTTTTTATTTTTGCCTGTTTATTAATGCATTTGAATTGCATTATGAGGCCTTGATCCTTCTTCTAACAACTTTTAAGTTTGAAAAAGTGACTTTTATTAACACTTTTAATATATTAAAGTGATTAATTGTTTGTGTTTGTGTTATATATTATGCTACAAACATCTTTTAATAAACTACCAGTACATTTTCTGTTATTTTAAAGACTTATCTCTCTATATATTATTATTTCTTATACATTATATTATTTCAAACTACTAAAATGTCAATAAAAGTCACTTTGTGAAACTGTAGAGTTAAAATTTCAACATCAAAAGTTGACAGAGCAGAGATCAACGTCCCATATTGCAATTCACAACTGTAAATAAACGGAAAACACTTGTGAATCACAAAATACAGGAATTGTTTAATAAGAGATATTTTTTATGTTTTTATGTTTATGTGAGTCATGTTTGATGTTCTTGTGTGTAGATAGCATTAACCTGCTTGTGATACTTTATGAAGTAGTCAATATATCAATAAATTGGTTCCTAAATTAAATATTAAATATCTCAATAATAACCTATTTTCCATATCGAGCTCTTATCATTTACTTTGCTCTCATGATATCAGACATTTTTGTCTCTTTTGTTATCGCTTAATTTTGTTAATAATTAATATTAATCATAAAATGGATAACGAAGCTGTATTTATTGACATAATAATATTTTTATTTCAGGTTTCAAATTTGGAGAAGGCTGGAATATTGAACAAAACAAAGGTGTCTGAAAATGGGAAGAAAGTCAGGTAAAGGTTTCCATCGTGATCTTGGTTTAATGGCCATAGATCAGTGGTGATCAACCCTGTTCCTGGAGATCTTCCTTCCTGCACAGTTCAGCTCCAACCCTGATCAAACACACCTGAACCAATTAATTAGGACCTGATCAACACTTGATAATTACAGGCAGGTGTGTTTGATATGGGTTGCAACTGAAATCTGCAGGAAGGTAGATCTCCAGGAACAGGGTTGGTCACCCCTGCTATAGGTAGATTTTTTGGGGTCAAATTCTAACATTTCATCAATCCTCCAATAGGAAGAACTGGGGTCATTCCTGGACAGTTCTCCATGGAGGTAAACTGACCTTCCATAAAGATCCGAAGTCCACACCAGCCGGGGCATCAGTGAGTTCAGAGCACCACAGTTAAAAATACAGTCATTTTGGGTTAACTAGGTTAATCAATTGCTATTGCTGTAAAAAAAAAAAATGCAGTCGATCCTAGTTATAGAGAAACAAATAATAAATAACTTGACTTTAAGTTGATCATTTGGAAAAGTGGCAGAAAGTAGATTTTTCTGTTGAATCATCTGTTGAGCTGCATCTCAATCATCACAAACACTGCAGAAGACCTACTGGAACCCTCATGAACCCAAGATTCTCATAGAAATCAGTCAAGTTTGGTGGGGGCAAAATCATGGTTTGGGGTTACATTCAGTATGGGGATGTGCGAGAGATCTGCAGAGTGGATGGCAACATCAACAGCCTGAGGTATCAAGACATTTGTGCTGCCCATTACATTACAAGCCACAGGAGAGGGACAATTCTCCAGCAGGATAGCGCTCCTTCTCATACTTCAGCCTCCACATCAAAGTTTCACGAAGCAAAGAAGGACAAGGTGCTCCAGGATTGGCCAGCCCAGTCACCAGACATGAATATTATAGAGCATGTCTGGGGCAGATGAAGGAGGAGGCATTAAAGATGAATCCTAAGGATCTTGATGAACTCTGGGAGTCCTGCAAGAACACTTTTTTTTGCCAAGATGGCTTTATTATTAAGTGATTTGAGTCATTGCAGAGATGTATGGATGCAGTCCTCCAAGCTCATGATGGAGTCAAACACAATATTCATTCTTTTTCGTCTGCAGCATGACTTTATATTCTATACTGGACATTATTCCTGTTGAGTGACGAGTCTTTTGACTAAGCAAAGTCAGACCTTACTGTACTAATTAAATCATTAAAAACCAAGACATGATCATATTTTATTTTGGTAAAATAAGCGTAATCTAGAGGCCTTTGCCTTTCATATAAGCCACTTCTGATACCAAAGGATCAACTAGAAGTCAAGTTATTATTTATTGTTTCTAAAAGTGACAAGACTTTTGTCAGGTAATGTTATTAAAACTTGTTAAAAGATTATATCTCTGTCAATTTAATTTGATGCAGATTTAAACGTTTTGACACAATATTTTTATTTAAAATCTTCCTTTGTTTCATCTTGAAAAAACAATCTTTCCAGTGTAGGATTTTGCATAACCCCGTATTTCATTTATGTATATCTGACACTGATTGTGTTTTATATTTCAAAGAGCAAGACAAATCAGATACTCCCAGAATTCACAGTGGATCTGAAAGGCGCCACAATTAACCGGGCGCCCAAGGACAAATCAAGCAAGAAAAACGTTCTGGAGGTACAGTACAGCCTTCAGTATGCTTAGACTCTTAAAAGAAACGGTTCTATATAGAACCAAAAATGGTTTTATCAAGCGCTTCATATATGGAACCCCAAAAAGTTTCTAAATAGAACCATTTTAAGGGTTCATTAAATAGAACCCCAAATGGTTCTTCGAATTCAAGTTAGATAGTTCTATTTAGAACCATTTAAGGGTTTAGGTAGCAGTTCAGCGATCGTGCCCGCACCGAATCTGTGTACGCCCGGCAGGCCAGAGTCACGGTGGCAGGCTAGATTGACCATCAGGCCACCGGGAATAGTCCCAGTTCTCCCTATGGCCAGTCCGTCCCTGGATATTATTAAAACTTTTTAAAGCCAATCATATTTTTAATTATCCATAGATGAAAGATCAGGTGTTATTTATGAAGGACACAAAAATGCAAGCTAAATGTATTGTGAAATATTAAACCTTTAAGTATATATATATATATATATATATATATATATATATATATATATATATATATATATATATATATATATATATATATATATATATAGTGTGAATGATGAATCTGTGGTGGACTTCTCCTTTTGAAAAATTAACCGTCACTCTCGAGGCTCTTCACCACCTGTCCACGACGATGATTATTAGTTTTAAATACATTTTTAAATCATAAAAACATGGTACTGCACAGTCTAAATAAATAAACTGGTTATTTTATTTATTTCACAAAATAATTTGTTAAAAATGTTAAATATTAAGTATATATAAAATATAAGTTATATGCTAATGTTCAAACCTGAATGAAAGAAAATCCCATCATACTGTACACTGATAAAGTTTTTGACCACATCATTCATTTTATTAGGTTTTGACTCAAAAAGCTTTGTATATCTGTGTTATAGCTTATAAATATTGTATAATCTTTACTAGATAATTATGTTATTAATCAAAAACTATAGAACCATTTTAATCAAAAAGGTTCTTTGCACTCAAAGGGTTCTAAATGGAACCATTTTTTGGCCAAAAGGTTCTACTGGCCAAGTATAGAACCCCAAGGTTCTATATAGAACCTCTAGGAACCTTTTTTTTTTAGAGTGTACTGTACGTTCTCTGTGCACTTCACGAGTGTGTATTCTTAATACGTTGTGTTTGCTCATTCAGCTTAAGACTCGGACTGGTGCCGAATACTTGATCCAGTACGACACCGATAGCATCATCCAAGACTGGCATAAAGTTATCTTAGATACCATACACCAGCTGGTGAGTCTTATAGTATCATAGTATAAAAATGATCAATAACAAAAATCGGTATATTTTATTCGATGCCGTATAAAATTGCTGGGTGGTTTTGACTCAGATTTGCTTCAAATGTGGACAGATGTGTAATTACATGTGTGTTTTTGCTGTGGGCCATCAGAACGGGGATCAGCATCACTCTGAAGAAGAGGACGAGGTCATTGATAAATCTCCAACCTTAGACAGAGAGGAGAGACCATTTGAAAAGAGAACTATGAGCACCGGTAATGCATTCAGCTCCTCACATTCTGGATTTTCTGCATTGCTATATTTAGTTTTTAACAGTATTTCCTGTCAATATTATTAGCCCCCTTAAGCATTTTTTCTCAATTGTCTACAGAACAAGCCATCATTATATAATGATTTGCTTAACTTATCTAGTTAACCTACTGTAATTAACTCAGGTAAGCTTTAATTGTTACTTTAAGCTAAATATTAGTA